CTGCTTGAACTAGTCCTTGCAGTTTTCTTGGCAAGATGAGGGAGATGAAGAGCCCCCAGCACCAGGAACAGAGGAAGATGCTGTTCTGAAACCTCTCCTTCGACCAGCTGTTGCCAATAGCCAGGTGAGTTAGTGGTTTTGTGGGTATGATCTTTGAATTATAGGTGTCTTGCTGCAGCCTAGGTTCTCCACTGTGAAACCGTTTTGCCCTCTCTGTGGTCTGTAATGTATGGTCTTCCCAAGGCCTTTTATAGCAGGAAGTGAATGCAAATCATTTTCATCAGCTATCCAGATATGCCAAAATGAATTATATAAATGTTGCTGCATTATTCAAGAACTTTGAATTGGCATATAGCTTGTCCTGAAAAAGAATGCTATTTTTTTCCTAAGAATTGATATGGTATGAAAGTTGAAGGAAGACCTTAGGTCCATTCTATTCAGGGCTTAGGAGGAGCATCATTTATGTGTAAGGAGATGAGCTCAATTTTAAATGTTGTATCGGTTCAGTGCATTTTTTATTTTATACTCCACCCATTGTTAAAAACAATCTTAAAGTAGATTATGTTTAAAATTAATTTACAAAAAAGTTAAAATAATTTGTCTTAATAAGAGTAACAAAATCCATTCCCCTCCACATTTAAAATAATAAAACAGCTAAAACACAGTGGTACAGAACATAAATAAGAAAGTGGTCTCTCTGTAACAAATCTCTGGTATAAGTAGCGCTCCCATTAGACCTTAATTGATGGGCAGGTACAAAAGTGAACAGCTGCTTCATAAAGTACCCAAGTAGTAGCTCATGATGCTTTGTATGTCATTATAAGTATCTTGAACGTAGCACAATAGCAAACTGTCAGCCACTACAATGCCTTCAAAATGGGTGAACTATGGTAATACACAGATTGCTCCCATTAGCAATTTAGCTACAGCATTTTGTTCTAGCTGCTACTTCTGTCCCATCCTCAAGGATAGCCCTGTAGACAACACATGGCAGTAATCCAGTAATAATACAAACATTTCTGTTTATAATACTTGAAAGTGACACACGGTGATGTATCTGTTGTTGCAGATAATCAGCTGCTTTTCAGAATTGGATTAAACTGTGCACAAGAATGACTGTATTTGCTTGTTAAAGGTTTGTATGATTCACAAAACTCAAACTTCCTTCCTTCTCTCTGCTTGCAGATCAACTCTGAGACCAGCTTATCCACAACTCTTTCAGCTAAACCTTTAAAAAGAAAAGCTTCTGAAATGAATGCTGGACTGGTGCAGCGAGCAGCAACTATTGGAAGCTGTCCGGTGCTTTATGGCCAGTCAGTAATAGGTGGAAGTGAGTTTCATTCCTCAGCTTCTGCTTTGTTTTGATGACTGTGGGGGAGATGTTTGGACATTTCTCATACTTTATGCTATTGTGTATTCAGGCCCACAGACCCATGGGGTGAGTTTACAATCAAGTTACCTTGGAGTACCACAGCCAGTGCTCATAGGCTATCCAGACTGTAGTGCCTCGGGGGGACTTCCTGCCAGCACCACACAGCCAGTTCCTTCACAAGGAGCTCCACCTGCTACTGCAGAACATCTGCCGCCACCTCCTCCTCCTCCTCCTCTGTCACCACCTCCACATGTTCCCAAGTCATTACCTCTGGAGAAATCAAAAAAGCTTAGAAGAGGTAGTAAGGTTAGTGCATAAGTTTGAATTTTCTGTCATTGAATGTACCAAAATGGGATGAGTTGCACGTAAATAGAAATGTGCATTATTTTACTAAGCGGGTCTTATTATTTGTCTATTGGGTAGCATTTCGTATAGATAACTGGGTTGTTTATTTTGGGATATGGGTTTATAGAAGTATCCTGGGAAAATAGTCTTTTAGGCATGACAGCTAAGTTCTTGGAGGCCTAATCTCAATCATCTTAGAGATATTAGCCTAGTGTTCAGAATTTCTGAACTACAATAAGTTTGGGGTTTGAAACAAAACACATTTCCTTTTTTGTGTGAATCTGTAATGTAGAATTAGTTAGCTGGGTGTTGGGTAATCCCTTGTATACTCTGACTGGATCAGTTTTCAGTTTTTGATATCCAAGTTTGTTGATAGGCTATGTTATCCAATATTTAGAATGTTCCACCACTTTTTCTCTTGACCCTTGCCCAACATGACTGTGACTTCTAGCCAGAAAGTTATTAAAGATATTTTAGTCATGAACATAAGATGACTCTCTGAAGTAAGGCATGATGCCTCTGTTTATAAGTGGCATTCATCAGCCTTTTCTGAAGAGGCTGTCATTGGCTCTTTTGGGCATAAGCCTGTGTCCAGCGTCCAGGCCAATTGATAGCTTCCCACTACAGGCCATTCTGGAGGAAGCAGATTATCTTGTTCCATTCCAAACTGGCTTCAGAGTAGGCCACAGAATAGAGTGGAATTGGTTGTCCTATACATGACAGAGGGAGTTCTCTGACCGATAAGTGCTTTGATACCATCCACCATGGTATTCTTCTGGATCGTCTGGAATACTCTGGAGTTCATTTGAAAGTGGCAGGAAAGGGGAGATGTCATAATCTCAGAAAAGATGTAAATCTTCCTGTTACAGTAGAATCATTTCTTGAAAACAGCTGCCTGCAGGTATATTCTGAGAGAAAACTGGAATTTTCTGAGAAACTCCAGAATACTTAGTGATTGGAATACAGTGTTTTGCATATAACTATTTTAAGTCCTAAATGACTTATGATATGATACACACAGCACATTGGGATCATCTGAAACTGTTTGTTGGCTATTGTGCAGGCCTATGAAACAGAAATCAGTATTAAGTGTTTTCTGCAGCTACTGCAAACTTCTGGAACGTTTTTTGCTGAACTAAGGAAACTGATTTCTCTGCTGGCTGTTAAAAAGGGATTGAAATATATATCATAACAATTGACAACTGCAAGTCTATTCAAAGTTAATTGTTACTGTACTTTTAATAGTGTTGCTTTTCATTTCTGTTTGACATTTTATTGTAAATCTCCAAGAGACTTTGGAAGTTGACAATATAAAAAAAAAGGCTAGAAAATAAATAAATAAATAAATAAATAAATAAATAAATAAATAAATAGTAAAACAGAAGGAGAACCAGTTTGGTGTAGTGGTTAAAACATCAGTCTAGAAACCAGAAGGCCATAGTTCTAGTCCTACGTTAGGCAGAAAGTTTGCTAGGTGATTCTGGACCAGTCACTCTCTCCTCAGCCCTAAGGCAGTGGCAAACGTGGTCAAGAATACTGCAAGGGCTTGTTCAGGCAGTCACCAGAAGTCAAGGCTGACCTGAAGGAAAGAAAGGAAAAAATCAGAAAGCTATTGTCTTCTTCCATTTAGTACTCCCCTCCAGTATGATCTACTCCAGTATGAAATTAAAGGAAAAAACTAGCAGCATATTAACTAGCTTTTCTGTCTATAAGAAAAAAAGTATTTTTTGTTATCAACTATTAATTTAATATTTTAATTAGTAGACTTAAATGTTCTCATCTTTGGGAAAAAAGAGTTTCATATAAACCTGAGATCTAGACAGCTCCCATTCTGATGGCATCTGTAGGGCCTTAAAAACCTGGCACTTTTTCCAGGCTTTGGGCGAGGGTAGTTGGAGTCCCTTCTTGCGTATGTGGTATGCTGTTTTGACTGGATCTGCCATCTGTTTATTGCTATGTTTTTCTCTGTTTATATTTGTTGTTCTGTTTTTATCATACAAGCCTCCCAGAGTAGATTGGAGTTGGGTGGATATCTATGTAGAATAGTTTTGATGTGTCTGAATATTTTGTTACAGAGGAAAAAAAACAAGACAAAGATGCCATCTCTAGTAAAGAAGTGGCAGAGCATTCAACGGGAATTGGATGAAGAGGAAAATTCCAGCTCTAGTGACGAAGATCGGGAAGTGATGTCACAGAAGCGAATAGAGGAATGGAAGCAGCAGCAGTTAATCAGGTATGAAGACGCCTGTGTGGTACATCTACCAACCAATTGCATGCACCCCAAAATATTTTTATTCAGATAAGTTTTTCCTAACTTTGGGGCAGTGTTAACTGTATTGATTCATGTGGTATTATCAACAAAAATGGGTGATGATTATGAGCTTAAATTGCTTTGTAACATACTGTGTTATAGAAGATACTGTATAATAAAAAAATTAATATGTACTATATACAAGAAAGGTTCGTTACTTAGGATATGTTTTTTCATAGATTGGCGCGCATTTAGAAAAATGTTCCTTCTGCTTTTAGATGATCTTATACTGTGTAGTATGAGATCATCTAAAAGATTATAATATTCTTTCTGCTTTTAGATCATACTGTGTAGTTCTTCTTTTTTTAGACTGGTGTAATAACATTCCTTTCTATTCTTTTTACAGTGGTATGGCAGAAAGAAATGCAAATTTTGAGGCTTTGCCTGAAGACTGGAGAGCTCGACTCAAAAGGCGGAAAGCCACTTCAAACACATGAGCTTTTTTTAACCATATATGTACAGTTCAAAACCTTTTACTGTTGGATCTGTTGTAACTTTGAGGATACTTATTTCAGTTCAATTACCTGAGAGAGAGAATTTTGTTGGACTTGGGAATCTTTTGGAGAGATACTTTGGCAAGTAGGCCTGTGAAATGATGGTTAGGCTTGACCACTTCCGTATTAAGCAGCATCTAATCCCATTTCAGACAGCTGTCATACCATTCTGTCCAGTTCCCTGGTGGAGCTGATACCAATAATTGATTGATGCACTTTGGCTGGTTCCATTTCCTACTCCACATTTCCACTCTTGCTTTCTCAAATACTGTTACGTGTCCAGGTGTAATTTGCCACTTGCATCATTTGAAAGATGGATGGTCTTCTCATATCAAACATAGCATCTCAGGATTTGAATCCCTTGTTTCATTCCTGATTTTTGCCAACACTTTGGGTTTGACAGAATTATTCCTTTCTTCCCCCTGGGCATTTTCATTAATTGTATTAAAAATAACCGTCCCTTCCTGTTTTTGCTGCTGTAACATCCTACTAGTTTCACTGGTGGGGCTAAAACAAGATGGAAAATATATTGTATGTAACTGCCATATTGAGCACTCTTTGAATGTGCTCCCATGTTTTTACTGGTGGGTATTCAGAAGGAAGGAGCCAAGTGACTTATTTGTAGCAGAAGCTTCTGGCTTGCTACTCTGAATATTGCTGGCTAAGCAACAGCTGAGTGGCCTGCATAGTTGCAGTGCAGCACCCTCTCGTAAAGATAGGGTAGCACGCCTCCATTTGCGTGTTACTCTGCACTTACACCGTATCTCACTGGCTGCTACTTGATAGATGTATGCTAGAGGAGTGGGAAAATTTAATTTCTCAGTACTTAATTCTTAAGCCCATGTCACTGAATTCCAGCAAAGGTTCTGTGTTTAAAGCCAGGCTGAATATTTATTCAACCTATGAATGTCTGAGTTAATTCTCCCTTGTTTGCTTTTTAAATATCTAAATCAAGTGATAATGATTTTCTGTAAAATGAAAGAAAAGACACTTTATGGTTGAATGCCGTTTGTATTTCTCCAGTTTCTGGCTTTGTAAATTTGTACATACACATTAATAAAATCCTTTTTTATACCTCAGAACTGTTTTATGCTAGCTTGAGCTCATTGTCAATAGATATGATACAATTACATAGCAAATACTTACTTTGTATGAAAACTCTCTGTAAAATTACCTTTCTGCAGATACACATACCAAAGATAAGGATAGGGAGTACATATATCTCATCAGTGGTGGATCTTTCAGTGATCTGCAGATCTGAACTAAATAGCACAACTGAACACCTAAGTGTTTTACTGAAACTGGCAACATATGACTTCCCTAATCCCTGAAATTAAAAAACAAAAACCATTTTTTTTTACTTCTGTGTTTTGTTGTGGTTCAGAAAAAAAATGTATAAAATGTATACTGTATATGGTATGTGCGTTAAAAATTATATGATGGGATGAATGTGAAATCACTGAATACAGAAGAATTTTCCAAAGTTTATTATAATTTGATCCCTTAATTGACTGTTTCTCACCACTAAGAAAAAGGAAATCTTAATAGGCTAGCTCTTTAAATAAAAAGGGGGCATTTAAATAAAAAGCCATCAAACCAAGAAAGCAACATGCGACTGAAGAAGAAAAACAGCCACCCACCAA